ATCCGCAGTCCCAGTCAGAATTTAGCTATGCTGTTATATTTTTCCTATGCAGACTCCTGAACGGTACTTTGTAAGTTCATCCTCTGGATTTTGGGGCTTGATAGCACAAACAAGAAGTGTTACTGACACCACAAACCACAACTACTAGCAACAGGAAACAGTCCGTGCAATGAAAAGATTTACCATTTCTGTGATCTCTGCGATGTCTTCCCTGTGTTCCCAACTTGGGAACATATTAGTGAAGGTCAGAGGCTCTAGGCCAGCGTGAATTAGATAGGATTTGGGGGGCTTCTTTACATTTTTTCCTAAAACCAGTCAAAATTAAAAAAAAAAAAAAAAAAAAGACAAATATTACAAACGGTACCATATTTTGCAGTGTCACCCACTATCCAAAGCTACCTTGTAAGCATGTTTAATTGATTCTTTCCTGAAAAGCTGAAGTAATTTAAGGCAGTAGGAATAAATTTCACTGGCATTTTTTGTAATGTTAAAAACCTTTTAACCTGTTTTTCAAAATCTGCCTTTTACTGTCTCTGACCACAAAGTTCAAACCATGTATGCTGAAAATCCCCCACAGTGTTCCTAGCACAATGTATTTCTTATCTTACTCTATTCTAACTCTATTTTTGTAAGCAGAGTGTGATGGTCTGAAATTAGCCAAATTCAGGTAAATGAAACCTTCAGAAGTGTCCTGCCAGCAGCAGATAAAGCTTAAGCTTGGAGACTTATGTGAGAATGTTTAAACCATTCTTAACTTGGGATACTGAGGTCTAACACAATCATTTTGTTATTACACATTCGAAGGAATGGGATCTGAAAGTTAACAGAGGTATTGCAATAGCTGGATGGTAATTTCTGATGATTTTCAAAGACAGTCCTGCTTCTTTAAAACATGTATGTCTGCACACTATATAGTACATGGACATAGCCCTGCCTAGGAGTGATGCCGTATCAGATTAAGTGGGTAAAGTTATTATGCCAAGTACTGGCGAAAAGAGGCCCTATTGGTTGAATGATTTAATTCCCCAAGGATTCAAGAGCACTGATAGACTCCAAATATTATTGGAAACAGGAAGGCAAGCAGTCAGAGACTGGGAGGAGCTATCATTCAAAAAAATATTGTACCTTCATCTTACTTGGATTCAAGTAACTCAGTCTAATCAAATCTTTCTTCCAGATAGGCAGTGGAAAAGCTAAAGATGTTGCAAAGTCCAGAATCAAGTGAAACTAACAGAGCAACATGATACCACCTCACTTCTGAGGGCTGTAGCTTCCCTAAAAGCTGCTTCTTAAAAAATTCTGTTATTCCCTACATTCAATCTCAGAGCATCTTTAATGCACTAAGATTTCCACCAGAGCATATAAATCCATTATAGAAGACCCTGGTTTTTACTGTAGTCCCCACCTGCAACTTGATGTGCATGGGCTATCAGGCAGAAGGGTCTAAAAGAGCACAGCCCCCTCCTCCCCATTGATGAGGAGCACCCCAGGGAACTGATGCAACACCCGTGCTGAATGCAAGGAGCCTGGGTGGACATCGGTGTTCCATTCGGTTTGCAAAATCTGAACATTACAGGTTTGGATTTGCAGATGTTGGGAGCAAACTGATTAGAGAGAATATGTTCACATGAAACTGAACTGAAAGCTCTCTGGAGTAGTCTAACAGAAGTATTAAAATGTGCATGCTTTAACTATGCAATTTAGACAGGATATCATTTGAATACTTGATTTTAAGCCTTCTCTTCCACATATATTCACTGTAGTTTATTTGTTCATTCTACCATGAATGATTGAACACTTAAAAACTTTGCATTTAAGAAATGTGTGAATCTGCTCTAGTTGTGCTGCTCCACTCTCAGTAATTCAGCCAAGAACTAGAAGGAGAGTGGCATTTGCTAATGTCCCAGTATAGGTAAGATGAATTTGTATGTAAGTGGAGAGACATTTTCATGGCATGAACTCTGCCCTCAGCACAAGCTGATCTCCTCACTAAGAATCACTGAAGGGCAAAACAGATTCTTCCCACTCCCAGCAGTCTGCAGCTCAGCTCTCCAGACTGCTGATTTAGCAGATAAAACCACAGAAACACTTGCAAGACATTTTGACAAGTTAAATGAGATTTATGCACAAGAAGAACTGCTAGGTATATTCAAGGGATATCCAGAGTTGCTAATTAGCATCTTTCATACTATCATGTAGTTAAACACTGCAAGCCAGGAAAAGGAAAAAAAAAGGGGGGGAGAGGAGAGGGACATAAATAAGGAAAGAAATGGAAAAATAAGAGAAAAGCATTTTAATGCTTCTGATCACTCAACTATATTCTGGTAGTTGACATAATTGCACCAGCATTGGTATTGCCTGAAATTCGATTTCTCCACCTTGATATGTAACAACACGTAAGAGCTAGTCAGCCCTGACTGTTTGATGCAATGAAATTTTGAAGTGGTTGACAGAATCCCAGATCATGAAAGTGATAGACCACCAGAACAGCATAGTTTGAACAGTAAAAAACTGCTGAAGTTCACATAAGCTTTAGCATAGAAATAGTACAATTAGAATCGGTCTTTAACAGTAACAAACTTGTTCTGTACCTATCCAACCACCCAGCCCAAAGCAAAGAAGATAAAGCCACAACTGCTGCAATGTCATGGCCAGTGATAAAGAAGAGAGCACTCAGCAAAAAACTCTTGTCCTATGATACATATGCTAAACTTCAGACCCATAAGGAGTCACTGAAGAGCTTTCCACTGTGCATCGAACTCAGATGCAGCAAATTCAATCCAGTGCAGAAGCCCTTTTCCCATCACTGAACTCGAAGCTCAAAAAATCCAGCGAAGTATCCAAACCTCAGGATGTGTATCTGATTCCATCTCTGCTGGGGCCAGAAAACATGATTTTCATTACCAGAAGATTACAGCACTGCGTCAGGGACACTGAGACCAGGATCTTACTTCCACCTCTCTCACTAGCCTGCTGAGCAACTCTAGGCACGTCATTGCACGGGGCTCTGTTCCTCTACGCTGACGTTCATTTCTGCTGTGAAGGACATTGTATGAAATGATTTCGAAGAAATGCATCTTAGCACTCCTTCTGACCTGCAAAAACTGGGAGCGGGGGTGGTGGAGAACAAGTAACTGGCCTCTTCTTTAGGAATACAGCAGTCCCTGTTAAAGACTCTTCCAATTACTGCCCTGAATTTAGCACCCCATTCCTAAACAAATGCTGCTGTTTGGCAGGGCAGTGCCAGGGACACCAGAGGAGGGACCGTGTAGAGCAGTAATGCAGTCCAATAAAGGTCACGTTTCAGTCTCCAGTACCGGTTTTCAGCTGTCTTCTGCCAGGTGTTACCACCTCCCCTCAGTGACACAAGATGACTGAGTAGAAACACAACACTTGCTCCTACGCCTATTCAACCTGCAGATTGAGAAGGAGAGACTGGCTTATCCTTATAAGGATGGAATCCAACAAAGCTTTCCCTCTTCAAATATACAAATGTCTATGGGAGAAGATGACAGATACCACCAGCTGTGTCATAAGTTGTAAAGTTTATTTGCTACAGAAGAAATCGGTGGCATCATGACATCTGAAGGTCTATAGCGATCAGGCTTTCCTTGCAAGAGGGGACAGGTTGCACCAATTAAGCCCTAGTGACTTATTCACAGTGGGAAACTGCTCTGAACTAACAGAACATGTCTGTTACGTATACCCTCTTTCCTGGATGGTAACCCTACACCTTTATTTATCCTCCATCAGAAGATGCAAGGTCTGTTCCCAGCCCCACATAACCTTAGATGAAGTGAGAGGAAGGCATTACGGTGTCTCAGGGAAACACTACCATGTAGAAAATAATCTGGTCAGTGTACTCTTATGTGATCATCAGTTGCAGCCTGAATCACTGCACACTGAGTGGCAATAACTCTGTCTTGTAGAAACGAGCGCAGAGCCTCAGCTTTGTGCTCCAGCATTTCCAGTGACCACCTGTTTCCCTGTGAGACTCATTCTCGATCTTCAAAGTCTTTCCACCTACCCTACTAAATCAAAACCCACTTACATCAGCAAACAGCATCTTCATTCCGTCTTTTGATACACAGAAGCTTATGAAATCTAAAAGGAGCTAGACAGAAAGCATTCAGGTTTAAGAGACTGTGTTCTCAGAATTCCCTTTTAGGGAGCTAATGTCTGAACTATACTCCTACAGTGGTGGCACATAAGAGAAATAAAGTAATAATTCCCTCTGAGAACTGACTCAGCAGAGTATCTTGGCAATTTGGGAACAATGCCATTACTACACAAATGGTTTGCTGAGAATGAGTGGGGAATGTATCTTCAAATACATTGATGTTTATCAATGCCATTGGGGAAGCACCTGAATACCTTTCAGCTTGGGACAGTAAGGCAGGGAAAGGTATGACACACTCAGAACAGCCAGGCACGGCAATCTGTTACCTTTGCAGTACTGCAGCACTGTCTCCATGGCGCATTTCCTGTCTGTAGCCCATCTGATTCGAGCTGATCCAGCAATTTTGTTTTCCACAGGCCACCAGCCTTGCCACAGGTACACTTCATGGTGATTGTCAACAAGGAACAGTGCTACACAGCCAAAAAATAATAAAACCCTCATCAGCCACTTATTAGTTCTTGGACTCCCCTGAACAACCCCAGTCCTACATGCTTGTCAGCTTCACGACAGGATCATTTCAAAGCTTACCAATCCCTTTTTGTTATTCATCCAGCTGAACCTCAGCTGAACTCAGATTCTCCAATATAAACAATGTCTTTTTCTAGCAAGCTTTAGGGATACATGTGCATTTGATTAGTTCTCAGCATCTTTATCATGGAAAAATTACTGTTATTGCTTAATGCTGTATAAGCATCACATGCACACATTTTCCTGTGATAAATCACATTGAAAGTGATTAGAGTTAGTGAATCACTGCCCAGCGCAGGATTCTGTTTTCTTGTTACTTAGGTATTTTAAAGCACGTACCTGGCTGTGGGGCAGTGTAAAGATCCTCTTGCAAGAATGGCATGGAATTGATGACAGCAGGGTCTCTTGAAGGGTAAACGTACTCGGTGGCTGAGAATTCTCCTGATGAACTACTGAGGCTGAACAGGCGGGGGGTGAAATTAAACTTTCCAGGATCTTTAAAAGAACAAAAATGAAGAAGTTTTCCAACAGAAAGTGCCAGAGATGAATGTGAAAAAATGAAAATAAAAAAATAAAATTTTAGAGTGACTGTAAATTCTGTTTTTTTAGAAATCAAGAAAGACAACCAGATGTCTTGGGGGACTAGCAGCAGCTGTGAAGAACTTGAGCTAAAAGGCTGGCTGCCATCAGTTTGAATCTGATCCTGGCTAGTTACTATCAGCCATTTCATAACTGGCTGTGTTGTAGCTTAAGTGAAGCAAAGCCCATCTCAGAGTTTACTTTTTAGCTGACAAATTTTCCACTTGGTAAATCAATCCCCCTGCTACCTTTGTCAACAGTTTCAAAGCAAAGACTGGACAAGAATGTGTGCAGAACTACCTCCTAAATCCCTTCAGAAGAGAAGCAAAATGTGTTGGTAAACAGCATTAACTGTTGCTCTGTGCTGCATGAACACAGAAGGGCTGCAGAAGGGGGTGAGAACAAAATGAAACAGTTTTCCAGCACTTCCCTTCTGGAGCAGTATTACTTAACTCAGTAGATTTTTGGAAGCATCTCTCTGAAGGGATCATCTCAACTACCGAGTTGTTCTACAAAAGCTTTACATTAAATCTCACAGTACTGTAGACGAGTAAAGTAAAATGTGAGTGCCAAATCCAGGAATGCAGGTCTACCTTGCAACATGCAATCATAGGCCTTTCGATCTCTCCTTCCTAATGCATCCCAGAATCCCAAGGGCTCTGACCCTTCATCACATTCATGTATCGTCACCTTGCTGCTGCTGTGCAGCCCTGCCTCCAGCGGACATCTGCAAAACACAAAGAAAGAAAGTGAACCCAGCTCTCCTGCCCAAAACACAGCTAACAAAAACCCAGTGGCCACTTGCATTAGTAGAACCCAAAAGCACCCTACAGGATTGTTGCACACTTCATGCCAACACAGGCTTTTTGAAAACTATGACAAAAATTATCAATAAACAAGATACAAAATTTCAGCAACCATTCTCATACCATTTCTGATCACACACCCAGAGCGGAGCAGATGCTCGCATGAGCTCTCAGTAGGGATTCTCACTGCCTGGTTTTGTAACTACTGCTGTCCTCCTTGCATGCTTTTCCAAATTCATTTCCTCTTCCTTATTCACAAGGTTTGATTCTAATCCTCCTATCAACTGTGATTTAGTTTGCTATTCAGATATTGAACATCTCCCTCCAAATGGAAAGAGACTGGGGTTTTGCAACTGTAATTAGTACAGTAGGAAGAGCAAGTGCATTGACCTTAAGTGAAAGTGATTACAGGACATGTGTTTTCCCCACTCCACCGAATCAACTACCCGCCATTCCTCCTCCTTACCAAGCATGCACATGCTGCAGTTGTACTTGGAGGACAGCTTTATTTATTTCAACTTTTCTTTGAGGCACACTATTTTAAGTAAACTGGTATCCTGTATAAACATCTCCAAAATAGAGGTCAGACACTCACTGTTCTTTTATTTTATTGGCTGCTGTTCTTCCTACATCCTTGGTGTGAGATTGTGCTTTGCAGCCATGCCACAGGTAGATAAGAGCTTTATTTATATTGAGGACAATCATGGATGTCCGGGAACGCAGGCTGCTGCAGTGACATGCTACTTCAAGTAAGTTTCCTTCATTGGGAACTTCTCCTCGCACGCAATATAGCCTCCAGTCACCTGGAGCAGACAGGAACAGTGCAGCAGTATTATACAGTCACATGGGATTGAAAATTCAAGACCTCTGCTCTGGAAGAGCTGTTCTCATACTGGATGAATTTCACGTATCGCATGCCTATATTATCACAGAATAAACTAGCTAAGCATCAGGTTTGCCTAACACTACTTGAGAAACCCTGTTGCAGAAAGGATGCCTTATGAAACCTTGCTACAAGAGTACAAGTGTTAAGAGCTGAAGAGCTTAACAGAGCAGAAGAGCCAAGTTTCTGCTCTGTTTCATAAAGGAAAATAAAAGGGAAACAAACACAGCGGTCCTTCTATTCAGCTCCTCTTCCCCGTGCACCTTAGGCACAGAAGGTCACGTTCACATGCGAACTGGAACATGTCCAAGCTACACCTGCACTGAAGTTCTCCTACCTCAACTGCAGCATTCAAGGAATATGTTGCAAAAAGTAATGAATGGGTAACAACAGCTTAGAGCTCTCCTTGGAGCAGGAGAACTGCTCATAAAAATACTCTTTTGCCCAGACTATGTAGAAAAGAACGTATTTTAAAGCAAACAGGCACTTTGCTTAATTAAAAAACAACTACAACTTATTTATATGCGTATCAGTACAATAAAGTCAGCTTGCTCTAGGGTGACAAAATCCATTCTCAGCTCAAACGAGAAAAACTTCCTTGAAACAAAGCATGGCAAAACTGTCTCATGGGTTTCATGGCATTCATTTCTCTTTTCTACAGAGTATGGTAGTTGAGACTGAATTCAAAGTCCTTCACAATAGGTAAAAAAGGATTTTGGGGCAGAAGCTCTTAACTAACAGTAATTTACTTTGTGCATTTTCTTCTTCCTCTTCCCTTCTTCCAGCATGCACAATCATCCCTCCTTGGAAGCACTGCAGGAAGCATGGCGGTTCTTTCCCTTGAAGCACTTGTACCTGGAAGTTGAAAGCACACTCTCTACCAAAAAATGAAGCAAGTATACAGACTCAGGAAAACTAGTCTCTATGGATTAAAAATTATATCGTTATGGCCACCCACATAGATGGCTTTCCTTGTACTTTACAACTGCTGACTATTGTTTAAATTACCATATATATCAGCATGCCATGGGCTGCGTATGTGACCTGCATATTAAAAGAAACCTCTAGTTGGAATCCAACAATAAAGAGTTTCAGAGGATAAGGAATACCAAATAAACTTTAATGTTAATTAGTTTAAACTAAACATTATTTGAATTCTTTACAGGACAGGGACCTTTCTTTGAAACTATTATGAGATACTGTAGAAACTGAAGTAGGTTCACAATTTGCTGTAAATTGGTTTACGTAACAGGCATGTTCTTTGCTCATTAAACATTGCATTTTGATTATGAAACTGATATAACCAATTGTTAAATCAGCTATGTTGCACAGCATCCCACACTCTGGGTCAAGTGTATTTGGCTATCTCGTCTATGAACTCCTGTCTTACCAGTCACATCTACGGCGCTGTTAAAAAACTAATTACAGCATTATCAAGGCACAGAAACTACCTTTAAATCCCCCTTCTTGTGTGCTGGTAACAGTCAAGCCACAGAAAAGCCTAACTCCACCCAAAGATAAAGCAAGCTAGCCTGTCCTCTGTTTGAGCGTCAGACTAGCCATATCTGCAATTGCTAGAATCTGCAAAACAAGGCAATCTACTCTGTAATTACAGAGTAAACATACGGAAAATTTCAAATGTATTTTCACGCCTCAGCCTGGCAGAAAGTTCTTCTCTTGTTTTCAGCACTAGGAAGACAGTCCTGTTATCTGAACATGTATGGAAGCGAAGGCACAAATTTGTTTAACTGTGCTTCACCTATTCCTGCAGGGAGAGGAAGGAAGACATTCTTCTTCAGCCATTCTCAGAAACATCATCTTTAGAAGTGGGATTTGGGAATTACAATCAATAAAGGAGCTTATGTGTCTCTGGAAGTTGGAATAAAGCAAAAAATAATTTTGAGGGCTGGCTATTTGTACTGGCAAGACAACCTTTACAGAAAGAGAGGAGGCAAAAAAGATCACCCACATTTACTGTTAGTGGCTACACGGACAGGCAAGTCTTACCAGGTCTGCCACCTAGGTCTGCAGGAGGCTCACCTGTGCTCCTCTCTCTTCATCAAGTTCTACTGTCATCAGTGCTGATGTCCCTTTCTCACTCACTGTGGAGTGCCTTCCTTGCCAAAAGAAATATACGCATTTCTCTTTTCCAACAGCTCTTACTTGTTGCTCTCCTTTTTGCCTGCTTCCAACTGCAAAACAGAAAGCACATGCTGAAGAAAGTACTCTGGCTACAGGTTTAAACACAGCACATGGCTTAATCTCATCTGCCAGCTCAGCACTATGCTGTCCAGAACAGGAAAGATAAAATGTCCAACTGGAGGAACATTAGGTCTCCAAGCCAGTACGTCCCCATGCAAAGTTGGCACTGTCTCATCAGGTGGATGTAAGCTCACATGCAGAGATGCCTGCGTTGGCCAGAGAAAGAGATGTAGAAAGAACTGGTACTATCTGGAGAAAAATAACTGACATCACTTGAGCCAATTTGCACGTGAAATGGTATGTCCAGTTATGTTACCCAAAGAGTGCATTATGGCTCATTTTCCACATTACACACTGTTCTTTGGCAGCAGGAGAGTAGCTGGCTGCTGAGTGATACTGGAAACAGCAACAGCTGAGAAAGCTACAGGCTTAAAAGAAAAGACTTTCTTGGTAAAGTGATATTAGAGAGGAAAACTACAGAAGAAAAGAACACCAAAACAGTATTTTTCAGTCATAAAAAAGTTAGGATTAGGTAAGCTTTATTTATTTAAATTAACTCAGTATTTCATGTTGGTCTGGAAAGTGGGTTAGCAGCAACTCTTTTTTTTTTTTTTTTTTTTTTAAATAAGGATTGGTATTTAGTTGTTACGATGAGCAAATAATGTTTACAGCAAGTGAAGTTCAACAATACAACCAGTTATGGAGTATTTTACTCTTTCCAGTGAATATTGAATAAACAGATATAATTAAAGATTTAAAAGAACCCCAAGAGCTTTAAACCAAGTTCTTAAAAAAAAACTTCTGCCTTGATTTCAGCAGTGCTGAGCAGCAACCAACTGAAATACTTAGGAGAAAGTGTGCTGGTTTTTTTCAAGTTAAGACTACTCAAACCACTAGCCACTTTAAAATTTATGGTTTTTACTCCTACCTGTACATTCAGCCCATACAAGTACTGCCTCCTACATAAAGAATTATTCTGCTTTGAAGTGATGGAATACATTTTCATGCATATTGATTAGGAGTCTGTTTACCATTCAGTATTAGTGTTACCCACTTCTCCCAAGATTTACAAGCTTTTCTATTTTTCTTGGATTTCCCAGAGTCTGAACTCAATGATCCTGAATAAGACCCACCTACATTTTTTTTGGCTAAAAGCCTGAAGCTGTATAGCTGTTATACTACTTTCAACCAATTTTAATATTTTTCTATTTGGAACAATCATTTTTAGACTATTTCTATTTTACTTACCACAAAAGCCATCTATTCTTAGTTTAGTGCCAGAAGGGAGAGTTCCAATGAGAATACCAAGCTAACTGATTCTCAGCATTTACCTGCTGCTCTCAGGCTCTTTGTCAGAACACTGCTAGAGTTTTCCACTTGAGACTGAAACCCATAGCAAAGGGTTTCCAGAAACAGCAAAAAGGACAAGCAAGGGCAATGAGTTGGCAAGGGCTTTTCCTGTCATTGTTACTGTTCTCCATTACCCAGCAAAGGCTTTCCTTGTTGCTAAGCCTACCTCTCTTGCAAGACATTCAGACCACTATCATTGGTCCAGCTGCCTAGTTATTTTGGTGTTAAGCTGTGGGCACAATTCTGGCTTAATGAGCTGTCCTGTGAACACGTACAACACCACTGTTGGATAAAAGCAGAGATGGACAGTATTACATTTGAAGCATGAAAAATAACTACAGGTTTGTTTTTTTAATGCTTACTTTTAAACAAAGTAAAATAATAAGCTCTACTTCTTAATGGTCTAGGAAGGCTAATTATCATTTCTAACCTTTAAAATAGTTTTGCATCCAAGGAAGTCTAGGTCTGGATCTTATCACTAACAGCAGCAGTTTCAGCTGCACTTCTCCATGTTTCAGCCGGACGAAATGGAATTGTTCACTAACCTGTAGTGCTCACCATGTACTTCCACTTCACCACATATGTGTCTCCCTCATGGAACTGCCCTATGCTTTGCTTAGGCAGTCTACTATAATCGAATTCCAGGATGTGCCAGACATCCACAGATGCAGTGATAATTTCAAACTGCCGCCCATCTTCTCCTTCTACAAGTCCATAGCCCCTGCCAATATTCATTCCATCCAAGACTGTGCCTACAGTCGTTTGGGGCACAGCTACCATTAGCATGACATCATATGGTTTAGAGTCAGATCTGGATTCTTCCTGTCAAAAAACACAGAAGAGATTTCTTTGAGCATAGCTTTTTTCTTCTTACCCCACAGTTCCACTCAGTTTGACTCCTGCATATTTCAGTATTTTAGTATCTTGTCATCATTTGATGCCTTGTCAAAGCCATCTTAGCAGTGTTCATGGAGCTGCTTAGCACTACGTAAAGCAACTCTGTGGGTTCACTGTAGGTGGTGATGTTCTGACCCCTAAAACCTGCAAGATAAAGAAAGTGCTCTGGATCCTTGGGAACAAGCTTCCCTGGCTTCCATCCCAGCGAGGTCATCTAGTTTGAAATACCTAGCGTGTTTATTATATGCACCTTCTGGTGAAGGGATTCACTAGAATTCTTCTCGTTGAGTTTCTTCAGCTCTGTCCAATCAAGAAATTTTTCTTTGAACAGTATGGTCTCATTATGTTCTGTGAGTCTGCCAAACACAGCCCAGTCTGGGCGTCCTTGTCCCTTTCTGTACAAGGGAATAAAACAAATAGAAACAAATCAAATTCTGTGAAATAAGGGCAAGAAAACTAAGTTTCTGCAATGAGACTAAACCCGAGTTTTGATACCTGGGTATGAGGGGATTGCATTCCCCTGGGTCCAAAGGATTTATGTCACAATTGGAGTAGTCAAAGGTGCCATTCCACAAGTGTTTTGCCAGCTGGAATGCCACTTTTCTTTGTGCTAAAGTAACTTCCTTTCCATGCCAGACATATACTTCACTGCCAAAATCAAACACCAGCACCTAAAAATCAAACCCAAACAAAAAAAACCAACCTACCATTAGGTTAGGTGATACCCTGATCCTTCCAATTTCCTAGTGCTGCAAGCTCACAGCGCACTGAGCACAAACTCCTCCATATATCTGAGTGTGTGCAGTGACACTAACAACTAGCACCGCAGTGCAAGTAAAGGCCAGGGCAGTGGTCTGCACTGTGATGTCTGATTGCTGAGGATGACTGGAAGGCAGTGTGGGGAGCGCTATGAGGTGTATCTTGAGGTGGTATCTAGGTCACTAGCAGATTAGAGAGCTCTTATTACTGAAAACATGATTTTGTTGCATGACTGATTGCTGTCCAGTTACAGCAGCTTTCACTGACATTTAGGCCTATGGTTCATCTTGCAGCCGGGGAAGGCTGACAGAATATACAGCATGGGTAACTGGCTCAGCAAACAGGCAGCGATTTGAATACTTTCAAGAAAACGCATTGTGTCTTTATTTTCGAAATCTGCTCTCATTCCTACTTAGATGGGTAAAATCGTTGTTTGCAAGGGAAAAGTCTGCTATGGATAGAAATAAAAATGCTTGAAAGGGAAAACAGGTTTTTATTTTTATGGTTTTGTTTTGTTTTTCCGAAGTGCTAACTGTTTTGCACTTCATGACTTTGGAGTGAGCCACTGCTGAAAAAACATTTACATTTCCTAAAATAGTATTTCACTTCAAAGATACCACGATCTAATTTCTTGAGACCTGCAGCACACTCTGGACAGCAAAGTGTTTAGAAGCTTTTCAGAAACACGAAGGATCCAATTTGCAGTAAGCCTCTCCATGAGCATTTGCAGTTACTGAGTTGTCATCAGCTGTATGTTCCCGCACTTACCACAGGAGCAGTAAGTGGCACGATACCTCTTTTGGTTGTAGCAGGGTACATTTTGGCACCTTTCCCCAGTAGTCATCCTCAGGAATGAGTTTATCTTCTACGAGGCGGTAAATGCAATTTGTTTCTATTATTGCAGCTTCATACATTTCATCTTCTTCAGGACTTCCAGCAGCTTAAGGAAAAGATTGTCAAAAATAGAAAAAAATTAGCATCCTACTATCTTTACTAAAGAGAACAGACTCAACTATTTTACTGTCAGATACTGTAACTGTAAGAATGCTTACACTGGTAATTTGTCTGTCCACCAAGGAGTTTCCAGAAGTCTTTGGCTGCATGGGTATGGGTATTTATTCCTTCTTGTATAGTCTGTATATAAGAAGCTCTACAGCCAAGTTCCCTCTTAGTCTGAATTAAAGTTGCAAGTTCTGAAGCCTAAGAGATTAACAGTTATCTGAACAGGATTGCTTAAGTCTTTGGAATACTTGTGCATATCTTGTTCAGGGAGAAGGCAAAAGTAGATAGGATATAACAGAGCAAATACCAGAAGAAATGGTGATTATTTGTTGCACTAAATAAACAGACACTAGAGAAAATGTTACAGAAATATATTCATTCTTTCATTTGCCTTAAAACAAGACTTGATCTTAATGAACATGGGAGTAAAAAGGACATCCTGCAATTCAGACTATTTTTGTTTGAGTGCAGATCTGTTTCCTGAGGATATCCCCCCTTTTCTCTTGCAGCTTCACAATCTACACACTCCTGTGTCAGCTTTCATTCAGGGCCCAGGCTAAAACATATTTACAGGAATCCTGCCTATCTACCTGTCACTGACTATCAGTTACGTGCCACTTTTTGAGACAACTGGCACCAAGACTCAATTACATCAAAGAGACACATGCTGTGACAGTTCTAAAAATAAATAATTAAAAAAACCAACTAGTACTAACCTTTGCTTTTTCTATGACATTTGCAAACTCTCCTACCCATAAGAAGCAGAAATGTGGAGTTAACAACAGGAAACAGTCTCCGCTGTTCAGTGACGAGGCCCTTGGTTCAACTAATCTTGTTTGAACATGTCTTCTTCCTAAAGAGAAAACAAAGCTAATTATATTCCTTTGACTACTGCTATCAAATGCCAAGATCTAATTTGTTTTGAATGAAATACAAACAATCACAGCACATTTAGAAAAATATATGGAAACAGACTGCTAAAGAAGAATTAAAAGACTACTACTGTGGAAAAAAGGTTTACTCACAGGAAGCAAAAATCCCCATTGCCTCCTATCAACTAATATTTCTATTAGTTCCTGTTCTTGCTTTAGCAACTTTGCATCCTTCTGGTATGAAATGAATTAAGAAAATGGCAGATAGAAGCCAAATTCCAGAACCCTTTACATTTGCTTAAGTGAAGCTATGGCACAGTTTCTGTAGGCAATAAAAAGTTTTAAGAATTTTACTTTGCCAAAAAAAGTAGCTATTATTTTGCAGAATCAGATACATTACTACACACTGTAAGGGGAAGAGGACCAAGAACACTGTCATGTCACTTGCAAGGTATACTGGAAGAGCACTGGAAGAATGGGACAGTTCCAAAATTTCCACAGGAGATGGCTGGAATTCCTGAAATACTCTGTTTTCTGCTTGGAAAACATGCACTAGTGGCCACAATGCAAACCTATTTGTAAGGTTTTATATTTGTCACACAGTTATCACTTATTCTTTTAGGTTTTGGGCATAAATCTTGAGCTGGAGATCTAGAACAAGCTAAGCATCCTACTGTGGTAGCAACTCCCATACATTACAATCAGCCTATGGAAAATAAAAGCAGTTCCAGCATACCTTTAATTTGTAGCAGCATTAGCTTCTTGTATGGCACAGCACTGTTGTTAGAGTTTTGCTCTGTTAGATTAACACTCCGCAGGCTAACGTTGCTGAAGTTCTCTTTGCTTGCCAAGCCAGCAAGTGCTACTTCTGAGAAATTCGAGTTTGTAGACACTTGTACATAGAAAGAAGTTGGAGAAAAAACACACACACACAAAACCCCAAAAGACAAAATTATTAAAAAGTTGGTTGTTGCATTAAAAAAAATTATTTCCACTTGGATTAACTGCTAGCCCCAAAGCTTTGCAGGTTTGGTAGTACCTAAATTTCTAGAGATCATCCAAGAGTAAATGGTCAGTGTCAGAATTATATTATTTGGCAGAAATACTGACTTTGCTAGGAAACATGTCTTACCCAATGTTTTGTGAAGTACTGTGTAGATCTTCAATGCCTTGTAATTGATCAATGATAAAAGATAGCAGAGTAGCCAACACTAATTAACTGAAATTCCCTTCAAATTTGTCTCAGCCAGCGTGATGCAACAGCCATTTACATTTCAAAGTCTTAACTCATGTTTTACTGTAAACTAAAAGCCTAAATTCTTGGCTAGTTTTGCTTATTTCTCAAGCAAAGACAAAGCACTTCATGAATTTATAACTCAGGGAAATGCTTCTCATCAAATGGCAACGAAGTATTACACATATAATTAGTGTTTTCATCAATACAGGCAACGCTTAAAGATGATCTCCCTTTATTCAAACGTAATAAGGAAAACTTGTGCCCAAAATGGTAAAAGTGGCTTGACAAACCTTTGAATAAATTTTACAATATCGTCTCTTGCTGTCCATCTGGTTGTCAGGAGAAAGCAATGTCACAAGTAAAACACGATGCCCTGCCACAGAGCACTGATCCTTCATGGAAATTAATCTTTTGGAGACAGGAAGGCTAATTCCAGTTTCTGAGAGAAAACTAGGACCCAAAATTGAGGCCAGTGTACCTGAACAAGTTTATCCATTCTTGCCAGCCCTCCCCGCCCCCAGCATAACATAATGCTAGATCTGCTTTACTTGATCTCCTGTCCTCACCCTGCAGGCACAGCAGCGGTCTCTCTCTGTACAAGGTGACTGTGCTAAAAAATAGTTAAACCTATGCACAGGAGGTGGCTGTAGGTAGCTTTCCCTGAGGAAGTCACACATGCCCTCCTCTCCAGACCGCCTTGACAGTCTACATTCAACCTCATAGCTCAATCAGTTTATTGCCTCTCAGAGAATATGTTCCATTCCTTCAGTTGTGGGTTTTGCATTGGGATTTTTTGTTGTGTTTTTCATTAAAATAGCAGGACAGTGTCTTGTACAAATTATCCCATTAGCTTACTTTTTTCTACTTTCATTCTCTTTGACTCCATGAAGGCAACATTCAGTCTTTGTTCAGTATATTCGTGAAGAATATCTTCTCTTGCTGCCAGCATTTTCAGGGGGTTTCTTGAGGACTGGACTCTGCGTGTAGGCCTAACTGCACGTTTGTGCTCTGCTACAGAAGATATTAACCTGAAAAAAAAAGCAGTGTTTATGATCATCAGTTAATTTTCCTAGTCAGAATCATCTAATGACAATACATTTGTTTTGATTTTGGGTGTGACATTTGTTAGGAAATCAGGATCAGTTCCTTGATTCAGGCAGAAGAGTGATTTCAGAAACGTGTAGAAGAAATGGACATGCCCGGTACTAAGACACCTACAAGATGACATAAAGCCTTTTGACATCAAACATTTTCGACCACGGCCCCTATGTCTGCATTCATAACAATGGAAAAAACAACTTAGTTCTTACTTTGGTGCATAAGGATCAAAGATGGCATCAAAGTCCTCATCAAGGTCCAAAGGCACTGAGGAGGAAGGGAAATCCACATGGCGATAGAATTTGGAAAACGTTTCATCATCATCCAGCTTCATCACCTCTTTCACAGATTTTCCTGTAACTGTCAGCACTGTCTCTTGCATCCCAGCAACTGCAGGAGAAAAAACACTTCCGCCAATAAATAATCATACTAGAGTTTCTAACTCTAGAATAAGTAAACATGGCTCGTTTGGTAGTCGTTGGGGTGGGGTTTTTTGGGGTGGTGGCATGTTTCCGTTTTTGTTTTTTTGTCGTTTGCTTTTTTTTTTTTAAATTGATGGGATTTGAAGGAGAGATTGTAGAAAAGTCTGTTGGAGAAGAATGATAAAAATGGAGTGTAACTGCTACTCATATGCAATAATCTTTATTACAAAATGGTTGGGAAATATTGCTGAATACAAAGTTAGGCACTATCAAAAATGAGTTGTTTTGGTAGGATGGTGTAAGCATTTTATGGTCTTGAATATTCCATCTTGCCTCCAACCACATTATTCCTTCCTTTGAAAAGATCTACTAGAACTACAAGCAGAAAAGTCACTACGTCATACTAGTGAATATGGCACAATCATTATCCTATGCTAGTGCCTCCTCTGCTGAAATGTAAATACCTTTGTAATTTGTAGAGTCAAATACCATAAACAGAATGATTTTTATATTACAAATGGAGGACAGACATATGAGATGGAAACACCACAGAACTCTAGACAGGTTCATAAGTAGACTACAAAGTGCA